AAACGTCAGCCTTCCTGCTCCTCTGGTGCTGCTTGGTCTGCTGTGTTCATCCTGCTCTACACCTTGTTATCTTCGATTCTCCAGCATCTGCAGTTCCTACTATCTCTGAAACTACTCTATGGTGCCATTGTTTGTCATTACTCTGGTGCCTGATTGCCTGCATTCTTGCCAGCTTCAGCATCTGGTGCCATTCCTTGCTGGCATCTAATAAATAATCAGTAAATAGATAAGGCTGCACTCTCACTAGACAGAGATAATGGGTGGTGGTTTAACCTGAGGCTCACCATGCCTCGGCAAGGAGAAAGCTTGAAAAGGCAGGACCATCATGGTCACCTCAGCTGGGTGTGGGAAATTAACATGTGCTGGTAGTGTGGTCCTACATCGCAATGCAGCCTTCTGGCCAACTGAGTGAACGAATAAATAATAGCTGCCTTTAATGAGATGGTTTGGGTAGAACCAAAGTACAGAGTTAGGGGAAGCTAGGGCACACAAAGCATGTACTCTCTGAATGACAAAACAGATAAAGAAATAGCTGGGTGAAGCAAAGGAACGTCGCATAGTATAGATGTCCGGTTGATATTATGAGTGAGAGACATCTGGATATTTAAAGTTCAGGATTCAGTGATGAAGAAAATAATGAAGGCAAAGAAAAGGCATGAGAAGAGATTGGAAGCTGACTGGAATGTAAATATGATCGTATTTAAATAATAAATAGGCTAATCAGAGGTTGGAAAGATTAAGGACTGAAAAGAAGACCTATTAATGGAATTAGAGATCATGGTTGAAGTATTAAATCAATACTTTCCATGTCTCTTTACCATGGAAGAAGGAAAACAGAAATGACCCAGACTTTTATGACTTGCAATAATATACTGTTTACTAGGTTTTTAATCAGGTTTTCCATTCATCTCACATTTAATCTTGAATCTTCAACATAAAAATGATAACATCAACAATAAAAGTTATACTTCGAAATTACTACAGATGTCCATTCACCCGCCATATCATCTCCCACCAGTCCACCCTACTACAGTCCCCGTGCTCCATCATCTATGTTATAGACTTTAACCATTATCTTACTACATGCAACCCACATAATAATTCCCCCATTGCCCAATTAAATTTCCAAGTCCAACTTGATCTTCACAAACTGTTAAATTCTCATCCAGGAATTACTGTCTGCTTTAAGATGTAAAATCAAACTTTTGCGAGGTTTTCAGACAATTCAGAGAATTTTATAATTCAAATCTCCTTCAAGAGAGGAGACATCATTACCAGCCACATGTAGATTGTCCAGTTCTGTTTCTGAAAAGTTGCTAAGATTTCACATTCTGAACTTTGCTTCCATCTTTGCAGCTTCTTCATTGTTTAAACCCCAAAAGAATATCTCAGACACTTCCATGAACAGTCTCCTTCGTCAGCTCCTTGCATACCTTCATTTTAAAGTTTCATTTTACAGACTCATTCTTTAAAATTCTTTTTGAGACAACAAATTCAAACTAGTTCATTTTTTTAAGCCAACAACTCATTCAGTCATTGGTCAAAATATTCCTTAGCCACTTTAAGAATATCATTCAAATGACTTATTATGCTCAAGCAGAGTCATTTGTTATTTGTGTTTGGTCTAGTCTTTAAAGAAATTGTAATCATCGTAATGATTCTCTGATCATATTCAGAATGAGTCTTAAGTTTTTTTGAAGTTGTATTGATAATTTCCTCATTCAGACTTTTGTTTTTGTTTCTGAATTGATTTTCCATTTCAGAATACTCAAAATTCATACAGTTTTGATATTGTAAGTAGTCTTTTCAGAACTGTGCACCTGTGTGAAATCCTGACAATGATAGCATAGCATTTTATTTCTGAGGTTTACTTTGAGTTCCTATACCTTTCCATTGAGGTCCTTTAGTCATATTTTCTCTCACAGTACAGTGCATCTCAATGATGGATCAGTCTTTATTTGAAGCAGTCATGACTGATGTACTCTGAAGAATGGTTGTTCTCTCGTCTCCATCAGTTCTCAGATGTGCTTGCTGCTAAAGCATTGCACAATATAAAATGCAGATGATTAATGAGTAGTTTATAAACTATATCAATGATAAACAGACCATATACCAGAACCCAATTTAAATTCACTCCACACAACTAAACAGGTGCACAAACCCCATAAATAGCCAGTATTAACATATTGTTATTCAGCAAACTCTTTGCAGGAACTTTTTTTTAATAAACGGCAAGTTCTGAGCTGAAATAGTATCTCTCATGATAGCAATTTTTCTTGGTTCTCCTATGGACTAAAATGGAGTGACTTCCCTTCAAATATTACACCACATAATCTCTTTTATTGCTATACACATCGACAGTAAAAGTATTAGGAGGTATTCATATCTCACAACCTTCCTTCTTTGAGAATACACTTTCTGGAGAAATATCATCCACTTATAGCATTGTCAAAGGTTAGTTTTAATTTCCATCAATTTGACATCAGATGTCCAGTTTTATGATGCTGAAAACATATTATTTTTCTCTTTCTTCTCAATACCTTCCTGACGACCTTGTGGTGAATACATTCCTCTATTTCTGCTGCCGGATCTACTATATAGTTTAGGTCTTGTTCACTATCAAATGATTCCACCTTCCAACATTTGTGTGAGGTTACAAAATAGTAGATGTATTGAAGAAAAGTAAATAAATTCAAAAGGAATACATGACAAATCCATTTGGATTCCATCCATGAATTTTAAAAGAATCTACAGAAGACAAAGCAGAGGAGCTACCACTCATGTTCAATATTTTATTATGAAAAGACCTAGCACCAGAGGACATGCATGTAGCTCATATTATCTCCACATTTTTGATAGAGAACAGATCATGTCCAAGTAATTAGATATCAATTGGTATAATGTCAGTGGTAGGAAAACTAATGGAATCCTTACTAAAGGAGGAAATTGAAAGACATCTAGCAATTAAAAATATCATAATGAATAGTCAACACAGATTTCAAAAGGGAAAATCTTGCTTAGTTAACCTTAATGGATTTTCCAAAGACATAGACTGAGTGAGTAGGCAATCATTGTACTTCTTCAAGATTTTCAAAAGTTCATCGATAATGGGTACCGTAGTAAGCTAATAAATAAGGCCAGAGAATGTGGAGACAGGACACAGGTAGTAGAATGGATTGCTGGTTGGCTTCAAGATAAAAAACAAAAAGTGGGTAGAAAGGATAGTCATTCAGAGTGGTGTTCCATAAGCATCAATGGTGGGTCCACTGCTGTTCACAATTTATATTATTGAATTAAACTTTGGAATTAAAGTTACACTTTCTAAATTTATAAATGATGCCAAAGGGAGTGAAGTATCAATACTGAGGAGGTCTAGAACAAATTACAGGATTATACTGAACAAACAAAATCCCTGGTCTATACAAAACCCTGGTTCGGCCACATCTGGAGTATTGTGTCCAGTTCTGGTCACCTCATTACAGGAAAGATGTGGAAGTGTTGGAAAAGGTGCAGAGGAGATTTACCAGGATGTTGCCTGGAATGGAGGGAAAGTCTTACGAGGAAAGGTTGAGAGAGCTAGGGCTTTTCTCTTTAGAACGATGAAGGATGAGAGGTGACTTGATAGAGGTGCACAAAATGATCAGAGGTATAGATAGAGTGGACAGCCAGAGACTTTTTCCGAGGGTGGAGGTAGCTATTACGAGGGGACATAGTTTTAAAGTGAGTGGAGGTAGATATAGGAGACGCGTCAGATTTAGGTTCTTTACTCAGAGAGTGGTCGGGGCGTGGAAAGCATTGCTGGAGAGGGTATTGGAGTCGGCCTCATTAGGGGCATTTAAGCAGCTATTAGATAGGCATATGGATGATAGTATAAGGTAGGGGTGGGAGTTAGATAGACCTTAGGTTTAGGGTAAAAGTTCGGCACAACATCGTGGGCTGAAGGGCCTGTACTGTGCTGTACTGTTCTATGTTCTAAGTTAGAAATTCACAGGCACTTCATCTATATTGGTGATGTGACTTAATGGGTTCTTGTGTGGTGACCACTTCCTGACGGTGTCACAGTTAGCTTAGTTGCCTGGCCTGAGTTTATATGGCGCAGTGACATGAATAGCACAGGTTCCATTCCTGCACCCGCGGAGGTTACAATGAATGTCCTGCCTTCTCAACCTCAGCCCTTGCCGGAGGTGTGGTGTGATCTAATGAGAGAGTGGGATGATGGTGACTTTACCTTTACCACTTCCTGATGAATTACTGGAAACTGTTTATTTTGCATCAAAGTTTGTTGATAAATTCTAAGCAATCACCATCTTCTGCTGTAACACCAAACTGCTATGATCCACAAAGCAGCCACAATAACTGACGGTCCTGTTTCTGCTCGTTACCATTCAATGCAGAGTCCTGTCTTTGTGGATATCTATTAAACTTACACTCATCTTTGCAAACACAACCCATGTCATTTCCCCTTGATCTCCTTTGCCAAATACAGTACATAAAACATGCGCATCTGGGGTGACAGTTTGAGGCTGATTACAAACACAGTATTGAATTTCATAGCTGAGAGGTTGTGAGGCAGTGGTTGATGCAAAGTTATGATTTTGTCACCAGAAGAATGTTGTCTTACGCCACAGGGATCATGCCAGATCCTTTATTAGTTGTGATATCTATAAATGACGTAGATGAGAATATGGGAGGGATAATAAGCAAGTTTGTGGATGACACAAAGATTGGCCAGGTGGTTGACAGTGAGGAGAATGGTGTCAGGTTACAGGAGAATGTAAACGGCATGGTCAGATGAACAGATCAGTGGTAGATGGAATTTATTCCTGATAAATATGAGGTACACACTGTCTGCAATTCTGGTCGCCATACTATAGGAAGACTGTGATTACACTGGAGAGGTTGCAAAGGAGAGGCACCAGGATATTCAATTCCTACCACTGGTTATTCTTGAGCCATGTCTGCATATCCCAACTATATTGTATCCATTTGTATCCATTTTTGTGAGTAATTCATCTACCCATCCATTCAAATTAATATTTGTAACAATTAAATGCTAGCAACAAGTCATTGCTGGCTAATCACTCCCAGGATGTGCTGGGGTGCAAAAACTGCAAATTAAATTTAAAAACTTTTTGCTGATTAATTGCTGAATTTGTCACATTCACCCTATGTTCACAGGTGGTCATGATCATTTCAATAGTTGATAGTTTCCCTTTATAATACATGCACCTGGCCAACCATGTCAGTTGCATGGTCATTTTGGTGAATCTCAGATACATTATCAATAAAGGTAGGGATGAAAATCATTTCCCCACATCCCCTGCAAACCCTTTGCCCCTTGCCTTAAAGCAATCTCCCCTGATCATTGATCCCTCCACCAAAAGGAAAAGATCCTCTCTGTCTACCCTGTCTATGCCCCTCATACATTTATACACCTCAATCATGTCTTCCCTCAGCCTCCTCTGTTCCAAAGAAAACAATCCCAATTTGTCTTCATAACTGAAACTCTCCAGCCAGTCAACATCCTATGAAATCTCCTCTGCATCCTCCCCAGTGCTATCACATTCCTCCTATAATGTGGATTCCAGGACTGCACACAATATTTTAGCTGTGGCCTAGACAACTAACCAACCAATAGTTCTAGCATACTTTCTCAGCTTTTAAACCTTATGCTTTGTCTGATAAAGGCAAATATCCTATCTGTGTTCTTCATCATTTTATCTACTTGTCTACCTACAGTAAAGGACTGGCTGACATGCACAGTGAGGTCCCTGTGATCCTTGGTGCTTCCCAGGATCTTAATGCACATCGTGCATTCCCTTGCTTTGTTTGTTCTGCCCAAGTGCATCACTTCACATTTGATGATGGTGAGGCTAAAAAATAGTGTACAGGGATTTCGAAAGGATGCTCAATAGAGTACTGCAAAAGAAACTTATGAGGATGGTAATAGTCCTTGGAATAAAAAGTATAGTAGAAACATAAATGCAAAACTGGTTGAGGGATAGGAAACAGAGAGTATGGTATTATACAGGTAATTTTTTAAGGTGGAAGATTTGTATTGGGGTTCCCCAGGCATTGATGTTATTGTTAAAGGGCACATAGGAGAAGACAGACATGTGTTTATATGCACATAAGCCAAAAAAGGACAAGAAGAGGGAGATGTTAATAATGCATATAGTATTCTGGGCTGAGCAATAGGAACATTGAGCACTACAGCAAAGAGTTTATGATGAATGTGCATATGAAACTGGTTAGATTGCAGCTGGAATATGCTTCTTGGTGCCACATTATAGAAAGGATGTGGTTGCAATTGAGAATGCAAGAAAGAGATTTATTAAAATGATTCAAAGGATGAGACATTTCAGTTATAAAGAAATATTGGAGAAGATGGAACTGTTTTCCTTGGAGAGGAGAGGGCCAAGGAGATTTGATTGAAGTTTTCAAACTCATGAAGTCGGGACAGAGCGTATTAGGAGAAACTGTTCACCATCATAAAGAGGACGATGAACCAGAGGGCACAGATTTAAAGTGTTTTGCAAAAGAAACAAATGAGAAGTGAGGATCTCTATTTTCAAGCAGCAAGTAATTTAAAATACGCTGTCTGAAAGTGTTGTGGAGGTGTGTTCAATTGAGGCATTGAAGAGGGATGATGATTCCTTCAATAGAAACAACGTGCAGGTTTACAAGCAATAAGCAGAGGATTGGCGCTGGATTAAAATGCACAAAGGGGTGGCTTAATGGCCCCCTTCAACACTTCATTGACTCTAATTTCGTTCAGGACAGAAATGAGTGAAACATAAAGACCAACATGAACCGGTTGGCGGGGGGTGGTAGTTGGTGGGAAGGTGTTGAATGACCTGGACAGTCTATGTTCAGACTCCAATTGATCCTTCCTGACGTGCAAAAACTGGAACTGATATAGCCCTTAATTGAATTTAAGTCCCTTAGCGGTTCCAAGTGTGGTGTGCGATAGTTTTTCCCCTGTTCTCCCAACTGTGGAGGGGGTCTTAAAGAACTATCGCTCCAACCAGTGTCTGCACAGAAGTCTCGAATAATCCACACTGCAGCATTTCCCCAAGAGACCTTAGATGCTCCAATCGGGTGTGATCGCCGATTGTTAAAACGAGTTAGCTGCTTTGTTGTATTGATGATTCGGTGAAAATGAAAGCCACTGTTGCATATTACTTCGATACAATGGCTCGTTAGAACAAACGTTTACAGAGAGTACTCACCCGCGAAGTATTACAGAAAACACCATATTCGGTTAAAAAAGTAGCGGGATTCCGTTCGCAGCTGAGTTTGGAGCATGTTCACTCTCCTATTATGCATTATCTGAGAACAGACAAAGTAATCACCTTTTAGAAACAATATGTCAATCCATATTAGGCTCAATGCTTTGAACAAAAAATGCAGAGGTGTTTGGAGTCTCCTTTCGAAGCGTTTTGCGAATGTTTATATTTATTTTGTTCATATTGAAGATACACACCGAATAAGAGGAATGCTATTGCCGGTATCAAGAAGAATAGAAAAATATAGACAAGATTTGATTTTGCAGAAGTACACGGACACGGAATATGCCTTTCTATGATTTCTTCTAATACTTCAAGCACTATGCTCCCTGCTGTCCAACTAATGGTTAAACTCCTCGATTTGCTGTTTCGCAGGAACTGAACAAATTTTGCAGATTTTAATGCCATTGTACCGGCGACTGCAACCACACAACTGAATAGGTGACTCGACTAGCTAAGAGGCCAACGCGGACAGCTCATAACTAGAGATAACAAGGTGTAGAGCTGGATGAACACAGCAGGCCAAGCAGCATCATAGGAGCAGGATGCTGTTTGGCCTGCTGTGTTCATCCAGCTCTACACCTCGTTATCTCAGATTTTCCAGCATCTGCAGTTCCTACAATCTCAGCTCATAACTAGATCCGAGAGGCTCCACCCAGAGTTGCTGAGGCTGTCCACATTGTTTCATTTACTACCAGAAAGGGGTAGTATATCAGCTTGCAGGATAGGTGGTATTTATCTTTAATTTTACTTCATTCATATTCAATAAAACGCATGAGCAGATGTAGATGGAGTCGTTCTAACATTCTCACAGCTGATTAGATAATCCTCAACTCCACTTTCCTTCCGCTTCTCCATAACCCTTAATTTTCTCACTGATTAAAAATCTAGCACAGCCTGGAATAAACTGAACAAGCCAGCCTCCACAGCCCTCTGTGGTAAGGAATTCCACAGATTCACTATTCTCTGAGACATGAAACTCCTCCAGATCTCTGACAAAGTGCAGGGCTGGATGAACACAGCAGGCCAAGCAGCATCCTAGGAGCAGAGAGGCTGACGT